CACATACACACACACACACACACATATACACACACACATATATATATATATACACACACATATACACACATATACATACACACACACACACATATATATATACACATATATATATACATAAATACATACACACAAACATATATACACAAAATATTATGCCTGATGGAGGCCCTGTGTGGTCCCAAAACAGCACTGTTATCCAGTGTCATTTTAGCACCCAATCTCACAAGGGGCTCACTGTGCAGTGGGACACCCATAGACCTTGCATTGAAATGCCATTGCAGGTATTACCCACTTCTGGGTTTGTAGAATACCTGGTCACCACCACACACTGGTTTCTGTTGCTGGCTTGTGTGGCATTACAGGAGGTTCAAATCGGTGGTAGGAACCAGTGTGCAGCAGTGGTAGAAAGTTTCCAAACCACACGAAGTTACAAATACCTACAGTGCGGGTGGAGAAGCAATGCGGAAGCATTTCAATGAAGAGCCACTGCAAAGGTTAAGTATATTGCCTTTTACAGAATGTGCATTATGTACAAAGGACTGCCTTCACACAAACTGAGAATTTCATAAAATGAAAAAAAAAATGATGCAGCTATACTGCAGTCTTAGTCATCTTTCCTTTGCTGTGTAGCTTGTCTTTGGCAAATAACAATTCCTATGTGGGCATGTTCGCCAAGAGCAGTTGTATGAACAAATAAGCGGCAAATGAAAATATACTAAAAAAAAAAAAAAAAAAAAAAAAGCACTGAAGGAGAAGTCTGAAGCTTCCAAAATTCGTAAGACAAGTTTCCTGTGCATATTCACAAGGAGGCTATCTAGAAGTAGCTACTGGAGTGAATAACCTAGTATGAAACATCTAACAAATTCCCCTAACATAGGGGGGCTTGCGAGCCCCCCTATGTGAAGGCAGTGACATAAAAAAAAAAAACTAAAAAACAGAATTTGCTATATAGCAGTTTTCACCCACCAAATGGCTTCAGCTATTAACAAATGTTGAGACTCGTGAGTGGCCCATTTATTTCACATATTAGGTATACAAACTATTTATAACTTTCAATTTATAACTTTCAATTTATAACTAATTGTTGTGGATATGTCCAAAAACTGTTAAATGATCAAATAGATATAGCACAAATCTGACAGATCACTTTTGTTCAATACCAAACATACAGTGGAAACATTTTGTCACGTTACAAAAGCCTATCAAGACATTTCAGAATTCCAGCACATGCCCCTCCAATCATTTATACGTAATCATTTTCAGCATATGTGGTTGAAATACAGACCACCAATCTTCTGAATGAAGAGAAAACCACACAAAATGAAAAATGGCATTTCCCAGCATAGTATTTTCTATTAGACAGCAGCCATCAGCTTTACCAGCGTCCACACAATACATGAAGAAAGTGCCTATGGATGTGTATCTAAGGTTTGTAGTGGTAGTCATCTCCTGCTCTAGGTAAGGATATCAAGCAGCTGTTTAAGTAGGATGGTGGATTAACAGGTCTTCCACACTATACCCGGAACAGGGGTGTGGACATTTAAAAAAAATACTACTTGTCCACAGGCTAAAGTGGGGGACGAGTCTACTTTTCCTAATGACAATCTACAATCAGCAGGCTTCCTGGCCAATCAGGAAACCGGGAGGCGGGCCATTAGTCACTTCCCCTCTTCCTGACTGCACGGGAAGCTGGCTCCATGTTCCCCTACGGTACTGCCAGTCAGAGGAAATCTTCCTCTGACCGGAAGTTTGAGTATTGGGGAAGGTATCTGAGCAAGGTATACTCGCCTAAAAACCGTATTTGACTGTGCTAAATAACGCTTCTCACTGGTCCTCGCGGTCACCTGACCAATGAGTGCTTGCAATTTGCGAGCGAAATTCAAAATGCACAGGGCAGGACTGCATTGAACAGCAGTACAGGGTACAGATAGTACGCCGCAAGGTAAGTATAGCCGGGGGGGTTGGGTTTGGGAGAGACCGGGCCAGATTTGATTGGGTCATTCCATTTTCCCACATTATTTGGGAAAGTGAACTTACCCTTTAATGCACATTGGGCGTGTAGGAGAGTTCACAATGTCCTACACATGCGTTTATTTGAATGCAGATGGCGTGGGCGGCGGGGTTGGTTTTATTTTATTTATTTTTTACTTGATCACTTATTTTTTTACATTTTTATTTTTTCCTTTTTAATTATTTACTTTTTCTTCCCACCTAATTTTATTCCTATTACATAGGGGCCCGCCGCTGCTCCTTCCATACAAGTGATCTGATCATACATTTAGCTCTGCTTGTCCGGAGAAGGACTAACATTTACAAAAAAGCTACTCGCCCGGCGCCCGAAACTGCATGTCCTGGGCGTCGGGTGATAGGAATTCCACACACCTGCCGGAAGTAATTTTCGAGATTACAATTTCTGTTTCTTTAAAGCAGAAATGAAGTTGGAAGGGGATTAGAAAATATATATTAAGACCCACATTCACACCCAGGTGTTTTGCCGCGTTTTTGATGCGTTCCAGTTTAAAAAAAAAAATGTTATTGTTTTTTTTGCTGGAGTGGGGCTGTCAGTATGTTAGCTGCAGTGGAGTGCGTTTTTGACGCGTTTGACGCGTTTTGCGTTTCCAGATCGTACAAAATGTGACATGCAGTATTTTTTCTGTCTTAACAGAACGGTAGCCCAGAAAACACATAGGGATACATTGGGATGCATTTTTAGTGCAGGAGCATACGGATCAGGCCAGCACAGAAAACGGACGTCGTGTGAACAGGCCCTCAAAGATAAGCGTGACTAAACTCTCAACACAAGAAATACCATTCATTTCAAATGGTCCCTGTTCACACCAGAGTTTTGTTGCAAGCTGTAAAATGCCAAGCGCTGGAAAAAGTACATGGGTGTTTGTTACCATAGACTTAAATGGAAACATGCGACAAGCATTTTGCACATTTCTGTGAGCGTTTTTGCACACTTTTGTCTATTGGCTGCAATGTCTCTCAATCTGCCAGCTAAAACGCACGCAATATACAAAAACAAAACACGCTAGACAAAACCGTGCACTAAAATGCACGAAAGGTGCGAATGCAGCCTAAGCGGTAGAGCTTTTTGGTACAAGTCAGTCTCTTGCACCACACTAGAAAAAAATATTTTTTTTTATACACTGCATGTGTTTCGTGTGCATTGTACTCCAAGATGCCAAGGTAATGTACATCTGCTGAAGTTGCATCACTGAGCGCCCAGTGGTCAAAAAAAGATGCCATCTGAGGACAAAAGAATAAGGCGGCAGCAATCACTAGAGGAAGGCAGGCAAACTAAGTGATAATGTGTACATTACAGAAAGAGCTCCCACAGTCACCCCAGCACAGTTTTCTGCTCTTCTTAAGGTGCTGGCATTACGCTTATGAAAATATTATTTACATAACGATAACTGAAAACTGGAAGGAATTGTCTATCCTATAAATACTATATCCTTTAAAAATCATGGAAC